TGCCAACTGAAAAAGGAAGCCCAATAGTCAACCTCAGAAAGGGATCCGTAATCGGCATAAATGTCCCCTGGACCCTCACGAGATCCTTGCGAGGGGAAGTGGCCTCTCAACAGATAATGCCATGGAATTCTTATAAACAAAATGATGCCAGCGTTGTTTTAGTCGTCAAGATGTAGCAACAACCATCACCTCTTAATGTGAGCCAATGCGAATCTAACTAGAATTTGAGAATTTGAGCAGGAGAACTCTGAGTCCTCTGGCTCCACCCGATCAATAGCCCTTGCTTCTTCTATATACTTTGTGGGATTATATCTGAAACTACAGAATCTCCTGTGGAGAGATACCTGAGGGTAAGGATGCTCTGTCCTGCTTAGTGACCGGAGTTATAGGGAATTCCAGTCAGAAGGAGTGCTCTGTTGTTCAGAGCAGTATGCTGCACCCCACAGAGATACATTGGCATATTGCTAAATCCATCCATAGTCACATCTTTGTGGGGATCTTTTCCGGTAAGTCATCATCTTGACAGAATCTGGCCACTGTTGGAGCAATGTGAGTCACCACAGAGTCACTTCGAATCACTTGTCTTGATCTAGATGGGCTACCTGATCTTGTGCAGCTGTGCTGCATCTGGATTACACAGACAGATTCAGGGGTGGTTGCAGAGGGGGATTGGAGCCGAAGTAGGCCTGGAGATGAGGTTTGAGAATTTTCTTCATCCTCCCACATGAACTTCTTCATGTGTTTTTCTAGTACCTTATGGCACTTGTTAGCATCTTTTTCTGCTGCTTAGGAGGTACACTTAGAATGGTTCAATTTGTTTTGAGAATTTGACATGGCTCTTGAGCTACTACCGCTTGCCATTGTGACCGCTTATTAAATTTTACTGTTAATGAGGGTGAAATGTTGGGCGGTTGGCACACCCAGGGGCCTGAACCAGCAATGGCCAGGGAACCCTAAAACAATGCTCCCCAGTTTTGTATAATCTTATGTAAGAATACTGAATTCTTATTCTTGTTCCTATTATTATTGTCATTATTATTTTCTTCTTAATATTATTATTTCTGAATTAGCCAAATTAGGAACACCTCATAGGCCTAGAAAGGAGAAATTGTTAAATAAGATGTAGGCCTGCGACAGCTTCCTGCACAGATGGGCCTTGGTGCTTGCTGTGGTGCTGCTGTTTAATTCTGTGAGGGCATAAGCCAACAGTTTCCTCCTTAATGAATAAGGGTCCAAAATAAATAATTATATCTGAATATCTATCTATCTATCTATCTATCTATCTATCTATCTATCTATCTATCTATCTATCTACATACACACACATATGTATCAGGGTGATTTCCCTCGGGTTCCAGGAAGGAGAGCCCTGCTTGTGGAAAGAAAAGCCTCTCACAGTTCCAGAAATAAAGTGCAGATCACTACCGCATGGTTAGTGAGTCTGCAATGGCGCCAGCCGTTATCTCTTTAGGCGCATGAGTTAAATCAGCTCAGCAGCATTTCCACGCCTTGTGGGGATCGATACTGCAGCTTCCCCTTGAATAAAAAGGCGCGGTGGGGCAGATGGGCGCTGATGCCTCCAGCCCGGACGGTGTTCCCAGGGGAGAGAAAAAAGCCTCGGACCCTTTTAAAATGGAGCTTCTCCCGTCAGGCGCGGCTGGCGGCGATTGTAGCGGCTCAGCTTGAAAAGATCATAATGTGAGTTGTTAGCCATGCGGCTGAGGCATTATCACCTCCAATCGTCCTGGGGATGAGAGATCATTATCTGAAGCTACGGTGAGCTCCCTTGGCTCGAGTTATATATCGTAGGGAGCTGCTTGACTCATTGAAACTAAAAGCCTTAAAGGAGATGTTTAGAGTTTAAAAGCAAACCTTTTTGTTAACTCCTTTTGAAGCCTTTGCTATTCCGGCCAAGGGAAAGGAAATTAAGTTGCCTATATCCACGAAGGCTGAGGAAAAACTGGGGACGCTACGGAGGAGTCCCGTGGAGGAGGAGGAGCGTCCTCTCAATTAAAGCCCAGCCTATCAAATGAGCGACAGAAGCATCATCCCAAACAATGGATGCTCTGAACAGCTCATCTGGAGAACTTAAAACGTAGTGTTAATTTACACTACAAGCTTATTTTCTGTACTACACTGCTTCTATAAAATAATTCAAGTTAGCAGATATTCCCTTAAATTTCTAAGAATTAGAATTTAATTACTTAAATTTCTAAGAATTATTTCAAATTCTGCATTCTATTTCTAGCAAGGATCAATCAACCTATTGTAGAAGAGTGGTATTTTTAGCATGCAGAATTAAATGATTGGCCCCAAGATAAATAAATCCATGATAGTTTCCATGATAGATGAAGGATTAGAACTCATGGTTCCCCCAGATTCTAGTTCAAAACTTTAACTGTATAAAAGTATATATAAACAAGATATGTAGAAGATAAAAATATTGTAGAAATCATAATTTTAGCTATTTATAACATTCCCTAAGTTCATGTAAGAATAGTAAGATCCATATTA